TTTGTGATATTATTTGAGGGAGATTTTTAAATTTTATCAAAGATTTTTAACTCAAAATTTCCAAGGGAACTTTCCAACGATACAACCTTAAATATTCAAGAGGCCAATGTTCTAARATTCTTGAAGTGAATAATCAATAATTCGGGATGCCAGGATTTGATTTTTCGTACATTTCCTTAACGAATGGATACACATTTATTCATTAAGTTAAATTGTTAGCACCAGTTTCTCTATGCTCGTTTGTTATTAATTCATTATTTTATATAAAATGTTTTGCTTCAAATTCATTCTTTCCATTAAAAATTAAATAATTTTCCTTTAATCCAAGTTTGATTTTGGTAGAGGCAAAAAAAAAAATTGTTTTAACAAAAACCTTCATTTCTTTGTATAATATTTCTCTCTCTTAAAAAAAATTTTGTAGTAACATAAATTTAATAACGAATACATTTTCATAAAAAAAAAGTATTTCTTTGAAAAATGAATTTTGAAAAGTCAACATTGTATTTTCAAATAAGTAAACTAAATCTTTCTTTAATATTTTTGCAAAAAAAAATAATCTTATGTGGATTGGAGAGGTTGATTTCATAATATTGTTGATGTGATGAATTTATTTTGGGAGACTAAATTAAATTCAAATAACAAAAATTTTGTTAATGGCTTTAGGCCATCCATAATTATTGCTCACGATTAGTAAAATGTGGGACGTTAAAAAAAATAAAAATAAAATTCCTTTTTTTTTCTTTAAAGGTCTTTTTTAAGAAAAATAATAGGAGAAAATTAATTATCGTTTGTTGAATGAATGTTGTGGGTGCTAGGAACTCCTCGTATGCAAAAGATTCCTGAACTTTTTTTTTGTGCATATCAACTTATCCATGCATTCGGATGACTAGTCAGACCCTATAAATCAAAACTGGTGGAGATTATATTTTTCTCTTCTCGAGCATAAAGTCGGCTACTCCACATCGCAAACCCGTAATGACAATGATATTTGTTTTATTACTTTGATTGAGTTTATAGTTGTTATTATTGAGTTTGAATTTAGGGAGGTAGATGTGTTTAAGTTGTTCTTATAATGCAGGCTTACAAGAATTAATGGTTTTTCCAACTTTATTTATTTCGACCAGAAGAAGTAGGCCGAGTTTGACAGTCATTTCATTTTTTTAGGCTTTATATTTTTTTAAATTATGCTTGCTTGCTCACTTTAGTATGTTATAACTTTAAACTTTTCTTATAAACAAAATTTGAACTATTTGGCCAAATTTCTTTTCTTATAAACAAAATTTGAACTATTTGGCCAAATTTCCAAATTTAAAAAACCTAAACAAGTTTTTGAAAGCTATTCAGGAGGTTGTCTTATAATTTACAAGTACATGCATTGTATTAGGTCGTAGTGGAGTTTTTCTCCCTAGTTTTTATGACAAAGTTAATATAACTTTTCGTCGCATTCCTATGGGATTGAACTTTAAAAATTTGATTAAGATCAGATATAGGTTATCAAGATAGTATATAGAAGGAGTTTCACAATTTATAGAAGTTGCAAAAAAGTCAAGTTAACGAATTGGAAAAAACTATATGTCCATGCATTGTCAGAATAATGTAATGTGGCAACTATGAGATGTATTGGAACAATACTTGTTCCCGAATGGGTTTTATCGCCTACTTACAGTTAATGAGTACATCACTAAAAACTTCAAACTTAGATCGATATGAAAGAGACACAAAATCGTCCGATGAGGACTTACATAGAGAGTGTAATGTTATAGCATTACTAGATAAGAAGATGAGAAGTTCGATATTCTAAAGATTTGAGAGGTTCGATGGTAGAAGATGATGAAGATGAAGAAGACTTTGTCTATGAGATGCCAACTCAGATGTTTGAAAGGGATAATTCGAATTAGTTTGAGGACTTGATGAACGAAGCAATTAAATAATGGGGCACTTGCAAATATATCAAAAGATTTTAGTAAAATAAGCAAAATAACAACCACATTTAGTTTTTTCAAATATAGCAATTTGTTTTAGAAAAAACGGAGGTCCAGTTGTAAAATTACAAATTCACCCATTAATATATCTGATATATATCTGTAATATATCTGACGACTGATATATATCTCTAATATACCACTGATATAATAACGATATACAATTGATTTACTTATGATATAACCATGATATCTACTCAACTTCTATCATGTCTTACCACTGATATATGTACGATAACCATTGATTTACCATGCTAATACAATACATATATATGTGATATATATTTGATATGTCTCTAATTTACCGTTGATATACAAATGATATTCCACTGATATAACTATGGTATCAACTGATATAACTTATTATATGATTATATGATTTACCACTAATATAACACTGATATATACTTAATATGCTTATAGTTTACCACTTATATACCTCCGATATAACTATTATATCTACTAATATATCCATTATATATGTGTGTTAATATATATATATATATATATATATATATATATATTTTGATATCATATGTGTGTTGATATCATACTACTATATCCAATATCTTTTTCAGATGAAAACAATGGTGCAAAATTTTTTATTTTTTATTTTTGAAATCTAAAATTATTATATAAAAGGTTTATGTGGACCATGCAGTCCAAAAAGACAAGTTAACATTTTGATGTACTTTATAAATTTAAACAGTTGATATCCTTTATATTTAGTATCTAATTAATATTAATATTGAATAAATARTAGTGATATAGTAATCAACATTATTGATAATATTAGTATATTAAACAACAAATTGAAATGATAAACTATAATTTAAACAGCTGATATACCACTCAAAATTAAACATTTGATATAGTTCATATTTAGTATATCAGTTGGAAATATATTTAGTATATTATAAATTAGAAGTACATCAGATATATATATTATATGTATAATACGTACATTTAATCTATATCAGTGGTATATTTGATAATGTATATCATGGTATATGTGATACTGTATATTAGGGGTACATCGAATGTATATCGGATGTATATCAGACTTACATCGGATGTACATTAGATATGRATTTGATGTATATCATATACAAATTTACATAAGATGTATATCAGATATAGATTTGATGTAATGTATATCAGATATAGATATACATCAGATATATATTAGATATCATAAGGGTAAAATTGGAATAATAAAAAATCCAAAAATAAAAATTCAAATATTTTGCTATATTTGAAATTTTGAAAAGCTGATGACATTTTTTGAAATATATAAAATATTTTTGCTACCCATTACAATTACTCTTAAATAATTGTACCTGATTGTACAAAACTTACTTCGTTGAATTTTTTGATCAAGTTGATGCATATCAAGGTCCTTAATAAGCAGTGTAATAAATCATTTGACGATATGCTACTCAAATTATTAAAGGCAAAATTTTCAACTGCTCAAAACATACCTGGTTCAGCCTATGGAGTGAAGAGGAAACTACGTAGACTAGGATTATGACGCAAGTCTATCCATACTTTTCAAGTACAATTGTGCATTATTTTGGAAAAGATTTGCTAGCTTTGAAAGATGTCTAGTATGTAGCGAGTCTTGATACAAAAACAACGACGGTAATGATAGTAAAAAAATCCTCATAATGTCTTAAGTCATTTCCCATTAATACCGATGTTGAAGTGATTGTTCTCATCATAACATATTGTAGATGAAATAAGGTAGCATAAGGAAAAGCGAGTTAAAATGGAAGGTGTGCTACAACATCCAATTGATGTTGCCGAGTGGAAGTATTTGGATCTTTAGCTATTTTTTAGGTACTTCTAATGTTACTATTTTTCAAGGCTTCACGGGGTGTGAACACATAGAAAATTAATTGTTATATAGGTGGTATCATGGGATTTTAACCTATTCCATATAAGTCCTTGTGATTTACCTTAGCCCTTTGGATCAATGAGCCAAGTTATGATAGTTCCCTGCGAGCACTACTTGTAGACAAAATCCTGTATGCAAATGAATAATGGGACCACGTTACACGTTTGCTACTYTGAATGCAAAGAATGAGTGGATCATAGGACCTTAAAAAAATAAATAACGCTTCACGTCTCATTTTTCACATGCGGTGTTTTATTTAGTGTAAAACAAAATAGCATTAGTAGGATCAAATTGAGATAACATTATTAAACTGCATGTACACACTCATCACAAATAATAAAATGGAAGTATCAACCCATCGTTCTTCGAAGACTTGAAGGTTTTCTTTAAAAACAAAATGAATTAGGTGACATGTTTGATGTGCAATTGTTTCTATGAATGAAATGAGTAGGAAAAGGGTTGTTTGACGAAGAATGAAAATTCAGCCCTTCTACTTCAACTTAACTCAGGACGCAGTACCAAGCACTAGGCGCACCTTCTGAATCGAACGGTTTTACTTCTTAGTCTACTAATTATGTCAACTTAGGCACTAGGCCGTGAAAGAGGAGATTAGTAGTTTGAATCCATGCCTCAACTATTATACTTTCTCTGTCTTTCTTTTGTCCTTTTTTTCTCTCTCATCTTTCATATGTCCATGTACTTTTCTATAGCATCCTTCTCCATTTATCGCTTTTTTTCCTTTTTATCTCTCCCTCCCCACACTGGAAATCAATAGTTTGTGTCCATGGCCTTCGCAGTTACGATATTGATATATGATAAAATTTAGTTTAACCCATCTGCTTAAGACGACTTTAAGTTCATCGGTGATTGCCACACCATACATTAAGGTTAGAAATGTAAAAACCACAAACCCTTAATTAAGTTGGAAAACAGAGATAGAAGAGTGCAACACAGTTATATAAAAAGCAAACTCAATAGAGATTCAAGATGAGATGGTTGAAAAGATAGAGATACAATAAACATAGAAAGTTGAAGAGGGTAGCATGTAGAAGGCCATGAAACCTATTTATTTGTTGGTGGCAAGTAGTAGGTAGTACAATGATAGGGGGCATTCAAGGTGGTCAATGCTGCAAGAGGGGACGGAAAGACGTAAGTTCTCTGTGGCTGTCCCATGGCCTGTCATACACGATGACCTCATAGTTATGACTTTGTTTGTTGATTGTGATCTTTAATACGAGCTTGTAGTTAGTTCCAGCCACCACCGCTTCTTTCCCTTCCACCACATTCTCGTATACATGTGGTGTAAACTTAGAGTCGTTTCGGTGTATCCTGTTGTACTCAATACATGCATACCTCCCGATTTCATGAATGAATGGGTCATTCACATCTTTGATCGTCTCATAGTCGCCGAGTTTATGAGAGTGTGGCTCGGCTGCAGCTACAGGGGTAGAGGTGGGACTGGGAGTGAGGGCGGCAGCCGCCACCATTGCTGGAAGCAGCACAACCAAAAACAAAGGAGCGGAAAGCAATTTCATTTTTACTCTTACTTTTATTTCTTGAACAAATTGGGAGTATATCGGTAGCTTATTTATACAACTTCCATTGGATGTGGAAACACAATATGTAATAATACAATGGCTTTTTACGGTTCAGTCCCTAGACTTTAGTCGAAATTACACAAAAACAAATTCATCTAGCCCTAGCAACCCTTATCAAACCAGAACAATGGTTTACAGCCACTCAAATAATACTTGTGAGTGCGAAGCCTATCCAAAAAAAAAAGAGGCAATTTTAAAACGTGTTCATGTGAAGATGGCTGATGGGGTCCCCAAAACGACAGCTTTTTCTTTGAATCTACCCCACAGTCCCAAACAAATATATAATTAATTTTGTCCCAAATCTTTCTTTTTATTTACTTTGTTTTTTTTTATTTGGTCGCTTTTTTGAGTTCGGGTTTCATCCAAGTTTTTAATTAAATTTTGAAAATACATTAAATTAAAAAGAAAAAAAAACACCATATACGAATTTTAGAATAGTAAATTTTAGAGGTTGTGAAATGGTTCAGCCATGTTAATATTTCGATGAATCGAYTTTTCTGTATCAAAAATAAATTACCAATCAAGTAGGTTAGTACATGTTAGACTTGATGAAAACAACAAAAACTTTGCATTAGATTTTTAGAGTAATATTTGTAGAACAAATGATAAATAAAGTGCTTTCCCCAAAAGCATTTATAGTATATATTTGATCCATAAAACACTTCTATAGTATAGAGCCAGTCAGATTTTGTAGTAATTATATGAGATTTATCACTCATGTCGATGTCGAATCCATGAACATGTAAAAATGTTAATTGAAATGTCGACGAAAATTTAATACCATGGTATCAAGTAAGGTCTCGTGTTGCGTAATAATCTATCTAGTAGCATAGTTGATTTATAAATCTCGCTTGCATATATATTTTTAGTATTCTTCATTTTTCAATTTTGATTAATTTAATCTTCTATTTAAGTTATGCTTGAAGTAACTTTTAACAACTTCATAAGCATTTCTCAATTTAATTCATAATATTTAGAGTAATATCTATAGTATATATAAAAGCCACCCCATTCGTTGCGCGAGGTTCAAATTTTTGCCCTCTCATTTTAACTCTCTTAGCTATTTCTTGGCTTAAAAAACAATATTTTTTTATTTCGATGATAATTGTGTAATTTAAATACAAATTTTATCTCTCCCAATTTCTCTCTTCTCTCCCTAACGATCCACTCTAAATTCTCCTCTCCCTTCATTTATGCCATAATTCTCTCCCTCACGCCTCTCTAAATTCTCCCGTCTTCCGTCATTTATGCCCAAGACGTTTAATGTTTCCTCTAATGTATTTTAATTACTGTGAATCAAGACTATAATTAGAGGATCATTAATCCATTATCTTTAGTTATTAATCTATTTAAATTGTATTTACTCTTTCATCTTCTTCCTCCTTTCGATATATATATAYATGTACAAAATGCAGAGGGGAGAGAACTTAAAAACTTGCCAGAAAGTGAGATTTTCGTTCTCACCATACTTAACCAAAGGGCATAGTAGAACTCATTATAAGGAAAAAAGAGGGCGTATCAGCTGTACTCAGGGTTGCAGAATGTGGTTTTCTTTTGACTCGTATGCTAGGGGCACGAGAGAGGGAAAGCTGTTGAGACAGCATCGATACTAGATAGAAGAAGACAGCATATAGTGAAAGATGATACGTATGTGCTAAGGGAGCAAAAATAGGTTTCTATAATTTGTGGTTTTAGGTTTAGAAATACAAAATGCTTGTAGTTGGGCTATGTTATTAACTTTAAGTTTATTTTTCGAGTTAATGTCTTGGAGGGACTGTTTTAGAAACTTATTTTCACAAATGTCTAAACTTTTCAAATTTTACACTTTTAGATTTTTGCATTTAGAATTTTTTAATAATATCAATTTTACTCTTATTTATTGCATTTATATTTATGATTGTTTTCTTTTTTTTTAAATGTAAAAGATTTAAACCTCTAATTTGATTTTATAAACCTTAATGTGTAGATTTACCCACGATTTGAAATTGAGAATATACCCACGATTTTCTGCAAGTTTCATTACCCACAATTTTCTGCAATTTTTATTTGTTCCATGATATTCCTTCCCCATTCTTTCAATGTATTAATTATTTCATTTTTATGTTAATGTTGTATATAAATTATTACATATATGCTACTTGTACTTTTAAAATCAACTATTATTAGCGATGAAATTAACATTCTGTTTATACGTCTTTAAAGAATGATATAACTTGCATATAATAATATATATTATTATAGAATATTAACAATTAATTATTCATATGTATATTTTCTATATTATACCAATACTTTTTTAAGTTCTAATATATAGACCGTGAGGACCTTTGAAATCAAATATTATTAAGGATATATATGATGAATATAATATATAGACATGTATCCTATATTATAACTTTCATACTATGTATTATTTCAACTTATGTAGCATTATATATAACCGTAATTTGATGCAATATATAACCATAATTTGATGCAATATATAAGTAATTGGACAATGTGATTGAGAAATTGAAAGCAAATGGTTACATTACGGGCACCGAAATGGCTTTGTTTGATATTGAGGAAGAAGAGAAACAACATTTTGTGATGTACCACAGTGAGAAACTTGCTTTAGCTGTTGGTCTCTTAAACTCTCCTTTAGATTGCACCTCAAGGATAGTGAAAAATCTGAACATTTACATGGACTGTCATGAGTTTTGATCAACCATATAAACTAAGATAATGTGGATAGCTTTCATATTCAAAAAAATCATACTACGACTCCGCTAAAGCACCTCAACTCTATTGCGACAACACTCGTGCTCCCCGCATGTCCATTAATCCTGTCTTTCAAGTTCGCACCAAACATATTGAAATGGACTACCATTTCGTTCAAGAAAAGATTGCACTTTGATCCTTAGTCACCAAGTATGTTCCAAGTAGTCGACATTTTCACTAAATCTTTATCCAAACAATCATTCAAAGACTTATGGGGCAAACTTACTGTTGGTTCAACTAAACACACCCTTAATCTAAAACACACCCAACAAAAAAAGATTTTGGTCATGCCAAAATCACTCCTAAACACACTCTTCATCTAAAACTTAAAGGGGGACTAAAGACGAAAGACGAAAAAGAAGAGAATAGAAAAATGAGAGATAATGTATAAAATAATAAAAGATAAATTATAAATATATACATTTTAAAATTATACCTATGTTGGTCGGTTTTGATATGTTTGGGGATATTTTTCTGATGGACCAACATTAATTCGGTCGGTTTTAGTCGGCTGTTGTATATGGTATTTACTCAAAAAGCATTCAACAGAACTTACAGAGTAGCCTTCGAACTTTTTTTATTTTTTATTTTATGAAAGTACATATAATTAGATTACTTTTACTAGAAAGAATTATTTGAAATAAACATAAAACATCTTTTTACTACCGCTTGACACCATTAAAATGGATGTTAATTACAACAAATTTTGGCTCATCGATCTTGGTCGGATTTCATTTTTAGACTAGATGCTCGTTTGAGCGTTTTGGGCTCTGATACCATATTAATATTCATGTGGTTCCATCTCAAAACCAATTGACAATGAGATGAGCAACCCATATTTATTATAAACCTATGCAACGTCTCTTCTTTTATTAATATGAGATCCTAGTTTATAGCGGAGAGAATCATAAATAAAGTGCTCCACCAAAATGCACTTGTAGTATATATTTGATCCACAAATGAATATAGAGTCAATCAAATTTTTTAGTAATTATGTGAGATTCACTCTCCGTGTCGATGTCAAATCTATGGGACATGTGAAAATGTCAATTGAAATGTGGGAATCTAATACCTGTGGACATGTGAAAATGTAATTGAAATGCGAGGTCCTTAACATAAAAATGCAACAACTTGTCACTCTGTGTTGCGTAATAACCTATCTATAACTTAGTTGATTTATAAATTTGCTTACCTATATATTTTTAGTATTCTTCATTCTTCAATTTTCACCAATTTATTCTTCTATTTAAGCTATGTTTCGAGTAATTTTTAACGATTCATAACCATTTCTCAATTAAAATCCTAATATTTGGAGAGATATAGATATAAAAAGGTGAAAAAAGAAAAAAAAAACTTAAGGCGCGGTATTTGGTTCTCCATTTTCAAAATGTGGAGTAGGGTTTGTTAACCGGCGTTTGCTCACACTTTTATAAATTTGGATTTGCTACAGTAAATACTATTTTACTCCCCAGGTTGCTATAATATTTTATCCCTACTCCCAAGTTTCTACCGTGTATATTTTGTCTTTATTCTCTCTTCTAARATGTATTAATTTTTTTAAAATTAAATGTATTAAATAAATGAAGAAATTAATTAATTATAAATGAGTAAATCAATTTAATT